TTGTCTGATCCACCTAGGGATAATACTATACTTCAATAACCGTATTTCATAGCATCCCAACGTGATTCATCATATGGGTTATAATCCAGTGCAATTCATGAAATCTTTTTTTCTCAAAATCATTACTCAATCAAATGCCTAAACGTTATCCTCTTATCTATTGCAATTACACCCTTATTTTAGTACCAGGGCAATATTCCATCTCTTCTAAATGCTTATAGTCGTAGACTCCTCCGAGTTAATTCAATCTATACTGAGCTTTCTATAACTTACGGAAACCATCAGCTCTCTTGTTTTGATGGGCTTAATCCCGAGGCCTTACCTATTCTTGTCATCTTCTCACTCACCTTTTCTTATCCTTACTCCCATCTACCTAAAACCTTGTCACTCTACCATACTTTAGCTTGCGACCTACACATATCTATTTATACTACTCGCAACCTTCCTTTAACTTGCTAGCAGCATAGATTTCCTTCTGTGCCTTCTCAGTTGCCTTTAAACATAAGCAATTACTCTTCCTGGTCGTTCTGCCACTTGTTGCATGAATACATGGCTTATCTCATTGCCCACGAATACTGGAATTTCCTGTAACTCATATGATCTCAAATATCACCTTTTGATTTTTTTTCTTCTTCCCGTTCATTAGCCACGATAAATGCCACTTTCTTATGGAGTACATACAATGTTGTAGTGAGACTGTTGTTACAAGACCATTTCTTCTTTATGTCATTATGCTTAAGTTGAAGCCTTCTTCCTTATTTCCTCAGCTAGTCTTTATTTGTAGTACTTAAGGGAGACCCTTTGACTCCTGTAAAGCTGTGAGCTTATTACATCGTATACCCGAAAGAATTTTTGATGTTCTTACTCGCCTATAATTATCCTTAGTTACTTACCTCTGCGCCCTTGTGCTTGTAGGGTTGCTTCTGAACTGAAATTTTTGACTGTCTTCTCAGTGGCACCATCTTTTATTTTCGTAACACTTATACGGTACCTTTAACAACCCCAACTCTTATCTGAATATTTCTCAAGGATCACGTTGTCATCATATTTGTGAGACTGAATTCCCTATTTTGGGTTTTACTATGTTTATCTTGCACAATCTGCTGATTTGTATGTATCTTCTTGTCTAGCCATAAATAGACTATTCGTGAATCAACTACTAACTACTCGTTGGTCTATTCTCATATCTATATTCCGCGTAATCTCCCTTGGGATATGTCATTTGTTTGAACTTACCTCTCGCATTGGCTCCTTATGTATCAAATATTTATTCGCACTTATTTATCAATAACATCCTGGGCGGGAATCCTTACTTCCTCTCCCCGGTGTCGTTCTTGCATAATGTTCAAGAGTCGTAACATATCCATGGGATCTGAATAAATGCAATCTCATTCCTTTCGCCTCATCCTCTTTGGCGTCTTTTCAACAAGGCATTCATCATCTCCTTTAACGTTCTATTCTTTCTTTCCGCAATTCTTTTAGATTGTGGTGAGTAAGGGACAGTTGTTTGGTGAATAATGCTATATTCCAAACATAGTTGTTCAAAAGGAGATTCATATTCACCACCCCTATCACTTCTTATCATTTTGATCTTTTTGTTTAGTTGTGTTTCAATTTTATTTTTGTATTGCTTGAATGCATCAATTGCTTCATCTTTACTATTAAGTAAGTAAATATAGCAATATCTAGTACTGCCATCAATTAAAGTTATGAAATACCTTTTCCCACCACGAGATGGTATTGACTTCATGTCGCAAATATCTGTGTGAATTAAGTCTAAAGGATTTGAATTCCTTTCAATCGACTTATAAGGATGTTTAACATACTTAGATTCCACACATATTTGACATTTCAAATTATTGCATTCAAATTTAGGCAAATAACTCTTTGTTAACACAAATATGGCGAGTGGCTCCAGAATCAATCCACCACTCCTTGGGATTTCCTACCAAGCTGCATTCAGATAGCATGGCACATAAGTCCTCCATTTCATCAGTCTTTTCAATCATGTTTTCTTGACTCTTCTTCTTGTCCTTTTTCGGAGCACGACAGTCTATAGCTTTATGTCCAACATTTCCACAGTTGTGGCAATTACCTTTGAACTTCTTCTTGCTCAGGTAATTCTTTGGATCATACGACTTCTTTATCTTTATGTTGCTTGTAGATGCTTCCTCAACAATATTTGCTCCCATTATTATTGAGTTACCACATGACTTCTTTTCAGCAGCCTCGTTGTTCTCTTCAATCCGTAGACGAATAATAAGGTCTTTAAGCGTCATCTCCTTGTGCTTATGTTTCAAGTAATTCTTAAAGTCCTTCCACAGCGGAGACAACTTTTCAATAAATGCCACAACTTGAAATGCTTTATTTATGACCATACCTTCAATCATAAATTTATAATTAGTAAAATAATCAATATCTTGAATAAAAATATTGACTCGGTTTATTCCTTCAACAAGGAGGCCATGAACAATAACTTATAATTCTTGGACTTGCGTTATGACAGACTTGCCGTCAACCATTTTGAAATCCAAAAATTTGGCGGCCACAAACTTCTTAAGTCCAGCATCTTCAGTCTTGTACTTCTTTTCAAGAGCATTCCACAACTCTCTTGATATTTTCATGACTTTATAAACATTGTACAAGCCGTCTTCCAAGCAACTTAAAATATAGTTTTTGCATAAGAAGTCAGAATGCTTCCATGCCTCTATGATCATAAATCGTTCATTTTCAGAAGTTTTTTCTCCTAAGAATGGAACGTCATTGTTGATAAAGCACTGCAAACTGAGTGTGGTCAGGTAGAAGAACATTTTCTGCTGCCAGCACTTGAAGTCCACGCCGGAAAACTTTCCGGACTTTTCTGCCGGTGCCATCGCAGGTGCAGCCGTTGTGCGACTTGAAGACGCAGCCATTGCAGCAGTAGTAGTCCCAACATAACCATTTTGTTGTTCTGTACTTGTTGTCATTTTTCTGTAGAAGAAATTGACACAACCAGAATTAGTAAGTCAGTGAAGTTTTTACATCTTCAAACCAAATACAAACAACCGAGTAGAAAATTACTAGAATTTTAATCTCGGATTGGGTAGAAAGCTACAAAAACTTTAATCTCAAATTGGAGTAGAAAATTCGAAGATTTTAATTTCCAAAACGGGAGTAAAAAATCGCTAGGATTTTAGTCTCACAAAGCAGAAAGTAAGATGAATACAGAATATAAAAAAAATTAAATTCCTTAAGCTTGATAGTATTTGTATTCGAAAATATAATTTCTGCAAAATAAAACAAAACCAGAAACCAAAGACAGAAATAGAATCAAATGAATAACGTTCCGAGCCCAATAAAAAACTATGTTTCTTTAAGAAATTTAATCCCCTCACTGTTGCCCAAGGTTGTTGGATTAATTCCTCCCAGGATAGAACGAAAGAACTATTTTGTAATACCGACAATGAAAATTACAGAACTTTATTGAACTCAACAAACGGCAATAAACCACACTGATACTTACATTTTTTTCTTTTGGAAAAACAATGCAGAAATGCAGAAGAGAGAGGGGAGAGTAAGCAGATTCCGTTCGACAGAAAGTGAGGCCAAACCTCTAAATTTATAGCCAAACAGTCTGGGTTGAATAAGTGCGAAGTACCTGTAGTTGAATAAGTGCGAAGTACCTGTTCACATGAGGTACCATTTCGGCAAAAACCATTTCTGTTTGGTCGTGAATTTTAAATTCAAAAACGACCGTTAGGCATTAGGAAATTATCCGTGAAGCCGAAGCCGAAACCGAACGACGACAACGACGGCGCGAGGCACCACTTCTTCTCAAACTCTTTAAGAGCTAGAAGATGTACTTCTCTATATAAGCACAAAAATTTTCTTTCCTTTTTTCGACGAGAGACAAAGTACATTCGTAAAGGAAACAACTTCAAACATTTCGTTTCCCTCCAAATCGTTTTCCTTCATTTCCCATTCACCCCTCTTATCTAATTAAATAAAACCCAACAAGTCACACGACAAATAGCCACTCACAAATTCACCAAAACAGAACTAGAATATTAAAAAGTTCTATCTATTAAATTCTTGTTACCATCTCTACTCAGAAACATTCTTTCCCTTTATACTTTTTACTTTATCTCCAAGTCTTTGTCTTTTGCCAAAAAAATTTATATATTATGTATAGGGGCGCAAACGGGCGGGTCAGGTCGGATATGAGCGGTTTGAAAACGAATAATATAAAAACGAATAAATTATCCGATCCGATCCATATTTAATACGGATAAAAAACGGGTTAATCGGCGGATAATATGGATGTACGTATTATCCATGATTTTTTGAATATGATCACATTTGGGAGAATTAGTCTTCCAAACTTGAGGAACCCCAATTTGAGGCTTTACAAATGTAAAAGTTGAATTCATTAGTTATCTATTTTCTAAGTGGATAATATGGTTCTTATCCATATTTGATCCGTTTTTAAAAAGTTTATTATCCAACTCATTTTTTAATGGATAATATAAATGAATAATTATTTTCTTTTAACCATTTTGCCACCGCTAATTATGTACAATGCAACTACAACCAAAATTTGAAAATAATAACAATAGAAGTAGTAGTAGCTAAAAGCTATTCCTTTGCCGTTACGATGCGATACCTGACTGTATAATTATTTTTACATCCTTAGTACACGCAACAAACTCTAATTTTGTATTAGCTGAATACAATGATTTTTCGAGAACGTTAGCCAAGCCAACAAAAAAGAACAAGGATTAATTGTTAATTTGTAAATGACCTTATTAAAAAAATAAAACCCTCCTACTTAATATAATGTGAAAAATAATACTCCTACTATAAAAGAAAAAGGGAACCACCTGCAGGACAATAGCCTAAATTCACGCGCTTTGATTTTAGAAAGCGGCAAAGGGAGGGAATAGGTTCGGAACTAGGCTCGGAAACTTGTAGCTTTTCTAATAACTCTCTGCATAAAAATCATAGTAAAGCTATTGCTTTTGTAGTTCATTCATGTGAGAGAATAAAAAAAGCAGAATTTGGCCAGCACCAAAGCTATACACTACCAGCTTGTAGTGTACAAAGTCTATAGTAACTTTGGTGAAGAATTTATACTTTTTTTCTGTTTCTGTGTATTTATATAGGCATGTATCTGTTCCATTTCTGAGCTTTCAGGTTTCATTTCCAAAAGAATTTAGAGGGGCTGGTTTCTCTTGCTTTTTTTAAGGGTTGAGAATTTTGATGTTAGAGGGCGTGGTTTCAAATTTGTTTCCATAAAAGGCATTACATTTTGGGTTTTTTCTCAAAAAGAATTATCTGGGGTTTGTTGGAAATTTGAGAATTTTGATGTTGGAGGGCTTGCTAGCAATATTTTTCCAATAAATATCCAATCTTGAGGATTTTAGTGCTGTGTTTGAATCTTCACATTTGGGTTTTTCTCTCAAACAGAATTATCTGGGGTTGCTGGAAACTTGAGAATTTTGATGTTGGAGGGTTTGGTTTCAAATTTGTTGTGATAAAAAAATCCGTTCTTTAACGGTTTTTTTCCACATATTTAAACAAGAATGGCTGCTGATGGTGCATTGGCTTTCTCTGTGGCGTCTGTGGTGGAGGATGTTCTTCAGCAACATGGAAACAGATCAAGAAGTCTTGATTTGGATGCCCGTCGAGCTGAGGAAGCAGGTAACTTTCTATTGATCCTTTGTGTGCTAATTGCCAATTTGCAATTTTGTCCATTTTGAGTCTTGCATTTGTGTTCATTGAAGTGTTTTGCCGGTGGCGGAACCAGAAATTGTAACAAGGGAAGAATCATAGAGTGTCACAACTCGGATTTGAACCTATGACCTAAAGCATATTTTGAACTACCTTTATTAGTACACTAGATGTTTTCCTTGTGTTAAGGAGATTCAGCAATTTATAGATAATCATAAGAAATCTTCTTACCTGTATGTACAGTGTAATTTTCTAGCGAAGAAATCATATAGCTTCATCCTGTTCAGGGGCGGAGCTGGCCTTCAACATACGGGTTTGACTATGACCTAACCCAATAACTTTGGTCCAAACTCTATATTTATCTTAAGAAATTCATTTAATATGTACAAATTATTAATTTAGAACCCACTAACTTAGAAGGGCTAGAATTTTGTACCCATAAGCTTCAATTGGGAGATTCATTGTTTCTGGCATGTTTATGTACTCAGGCAGCTCATTCTTGAATAGATTAAGAGAAGCCTAGATTTGAAACTCATTTACTGTTGCTGATGTTGCAGACCTAAAATATAAAAAAAAAGTGTCTAATATTTAAAGCTTTAAGCTTTAGACGAAATGGTTTGCACAAGTCCAGGGGCGGAGATAGAAGCCATTATACGGGTTCGGCCGAACCCAATAGCTTTTGCGCAAACAATGTATTTGTATTAACTGCTAAAAAATTCACTATATATGTACACATATTAATTTTGGAATTCAGTTATTTGTACTTGGAATTGTCGTTCTAAAATCCAGAACCCATAAAGTTGAAGTCCTGGCTCCGCCTCTATGCACAATGGCATAATTCAGCAGCCTACGTTGTAATGTTCAATGAGGCATTATTCTGACCTAAGTTGCTCCGACACGGCAGTTTAGGTGCCGCACCCGTGTCGACACGACACTAGTGTGGGTGTGGGTATGAGATCCGTATCAGATCTGGTCAAACGATTTTGGGTACTTTGACCACGACAGATGGAAAAATTCGAGACGAGATACAATTTAATTCCCGAAATCAGAATCAAAACTAGGGTAAAATTTGAAGAAAATAGCATACCTTGTCTATGAAATCAATCCTTTCTTATCTATAACTTGAGAATAAAAAAGAAATCCACACTTTACAAGCTATATTCCACAAAATTTCTCATAATTTAGAGATAATTTTCATATTATTATTTATTTGAATTATTTTTAGCTGGATCCCCGCACCCGTATTCGTACTAGGATCCGTATCCGTGAATCTTAAAATTTACATTTTGAAGGCTCCGACATCTAGATCCGCACCCGTGTGCGAGCAACTTAGATTCTGACTACCTTTTTTCCTGCTATATGAGGAATGACATCGAATGAACTTATCTTTGATTTGCAGCAACAAGGAGGTATGAAGCAGCAGCGTGGCTGAGAAAGGTGGTTGGCGTTGTGGGAGCAAAAGATTTGCCAGCTGAGCCTTCCGAGGAAGACTTCAGGCTTGGCTTAAGGAGTGGAATAATTCTTTGCAATGTGCTTAATAAAATTCAGCCTGGAGCTGTGCCCAAGGTAAAAACTTCACAATGTCCTGTTTGTTGGAATTGAATTGTTATCTTTTCAACCTTCAAAACATTGACCTTGATCAACAACTGCAGGTTGTTGAAAGTCCGGTTGACTCTGCGCTACTTCCTGATGGAGCAGCCTTGTCTGCATACCAGTATTTTGAGAACGTCCGTAACTTTTTGGTTGCTGCCCAAGATATGGGGATTCCTTCATTTGAGGCATCTGATCTTGAACAGGTAAGTGCAGTGCCTTTATGTGAGCCAACATAATCTATAACTTATAGTGTTGCAAGGTTTGTTACCTGTTTCATAATATTTCAATTTCAATATATCTCATAGAAGTTTAAGGGTTTGGCCTAGTCCTTAATGAAATGGGAGGAGAACTATGAGGTCTGGATCAAATCCCAACGGAAGCAAAAAATATAAGATGATATCTTCCCATAATCCTAAATCTTAGTGGGCAGAGTTATGTGGTATCTGTGCTGGTGAGAGGTAGCAGGTACCCGGTGAAATAGTCAAGGTGTGCGCAAGTTGGGCCAGACACCACCGTAGTGTTGCATTATCATTCTCACGACTGTGAACTGGATTTGCTGCTTAATATGGAGTGACCTTCACTGATGAAGCCACATTTTTTTATGAGTATCAGGGCGGAAAATCGTCCAGGGTTGTCAACTGTGTTTTGGGAATTAAAGACTACAGCGAATGGAAGCAAACAGGTGGCACTGGAGTCTGGAAATTCGGTGGAAATGTAAAGTCCACAACATCAACAAAACAATTTGTGCGCAAAAATTCTGAGCCATTCTCTAGTTCTCTGTCAAGGAGTATGTCAATGAATGAGAAATTTACTGAAAGTAACAAAATGGTAGGTAGACTTGGCTTGACAACATGCATTATCAATATCGTAACCAAGGCATGATTCATTAATTAAAGCTTCCGTTTTACAGCCCAACTCTTCCTTAAGCAACCTTGTTCGTGCAATTCTGATTGATAAGAAGCCTGAAGAAGTTCCTAATGTAAGTTGGAATGCAGTAAATTTCTTGCAGTCAATTTTTTTCTTATAGATTTTGCAGTTGCAAAAGAAACTCTATTCAAAGCCTCAGTTTTCCTGCTCCTGCATATTTTCAAGAGAGTTACTTTTGTATGTATTTGACATTTGGCCGAAGTAGAGAGAGGAACCAAATGACAATGTGAACTTAAAACTAATAGTGGAGGGGTAAACTTTTTTCAAGTGATTTGTCACTATATTACATTGTATGTTTGGCTTCTGCTGCCGTTGTTCTAAGATACAGTCATTTTTATACTTGCTACAGCTTGTGGAGTCAGTGTTGAATAAGGTTGTTGAGGAGTTCGAGCAGCGAATTGCAACCCAAATTCAACCGGTAATTTTAAATAAGTTCTACTTCTGAGCTCAATTGATCATTTATACGTAGCTTAAATCTTTACTTAGAAGTCAAAATTGATTGCGTTGTCTTTGTCTCTCTTCTTTTTCTTTTTTTCCACCGTACTTGCATAAACACCTTTTTGTTGGAAGATGCCTTTTGACTATATCTCGTGCTCTACCAAAATAGAACATAGAATATCGTTTCCACTTTCTTGAATCTATTTGTACCCTTTATCTTCTTCTCTGACGCCGCATTTGGACATCCTTCGATCAGAACAAAGCAACTCCAAAGGATTCGAGCGTTTCCTGTGGTAACAGATTCCTTCAGAAACATACTTCTGCCGGCACAAAGGTAATGCCTCTAACTTTTGTTAATCACTAGTTCATCAACCATAAAGGCATAATTTCATGTAAACTAGAGGATCACTCATACTTGTTCGCTTTCTCTTTCTCAATTAGCTTGACCAAAGAAATGTTGCTCTAGTGAAAGAAGAGAATCGCATCACTGATGAGGAACTTAAAAAAAGATATGTGAAGCAGAACACAATTGTTGACCAACAGGAAAGAGACGTCAAGGTAAGAAGTTAAGCTTGACCAGGCATGAACAGACTCTCCGATATGGAACTTTTCAAAACCTATATTTTGCGATCAATAATGTTCCACTGCAGGACCTAAAACAAACTCTTTTGACTACAAAAGCGGGTATGCAGTTCATGCAAATGAAGTTTCATGAGGAGATACACAATATTGGTAGGATTATTGCACCTAACAAATTATTGCTCCTTTTTTTCCTTTCTTTTCTGTGGAAATTCCTTCAGATAAGTTTTTTTTCCACTGATAAAATCCCTGCATTATAGGCATGCACATACACAGCCTAGCACACGCAGCTTCCAGTTATCATAGAGTTCTTGAAGAAAATCGCAGGCTTTACAATCAAGTCCAGGACCTTAAAGGTATCTTTCTTGTGAAGACCCTCTGAGTCTGTCTTCATCACCTATCCGAGTTTTGAATGAGACGATCATTTCTTTGTGCTTGATTCAGGAAGCATAAGAGTTTACTGTCGAGTAAGACCATTTTTGCCCGGGCAAGCAAGTTATATTAGTAATGTGGATCATATAGAAGATGGTAGCATTACAATAAGTGTTCCATCAAAGAACGGGAAAGGACGCAAGTCTTTCAATTTCAATAAAGTATTCGGACCGTCCGCAACTCAAGGTTGGTTAGACCATTCGTAAAATTGGCATGTATACTTTGACTTTAGCATCTCTTAGCTCTCTTCATGGCTTATTTTCTTCTATATTTTTGGGTGTTCACCTTTTATTTTTCTCTATTTCTTTTTGTGTGGCAGGAGAGGTGTTTTCAGACACTCAACAACTGATTAGATCAGTGTTGGATGGGTACAATGTGTGCATTTTTGCTTATGGTCAAACTGGATCAGGAAAAACCTTCACAATGGTTAGACAAAAAGAAATTCATATATACAACTATAATCATATTTTCCCTCTTTTATGTGCTAAGAAGTTGTATATTTATAATCAGACTGGGCCTAAGGATCTTACCGAACAAAGCCGAGGGGTAAACTACAGGGCATTAGGCGATTTATTCCTTCTTGCAGAGCAAAGAAAGGACACCTTCTTCTATGAAGTGTCTGTACAAATGATTGAGATATATAACGAGCAAGTTAGGGATCTCCTTGTTTCTGATGGTGTGCACAAAAGATATCCTTCCCAGTTTCTTTGACTTACATTCTTATGATCTTTGAAGCTATTCCCAACTTGACTATTGTAAATATCTAAACTCAAGGACATTCTGATGTTGAGTTCCCAAATATAGAAATTTTTCAATGCTTATGCTAAGCAATATAATTACTATCAGTACCAGTGGCGGAGCCAGGATTTTCACCAAGGGGATTCAACATATAATATATGCACATAAATTTTCACACGGAAAAGCCGAGGGGATTCAATATATAATATATATGCATAAAGTAATTTTTTTTACCTAGAAACACAATGTAATTTTCCGGCGAAGGAGCGTCAGTTGGTTAAACGTGGCTCCGCCACTCAGTACTCACTCTCAAGCCCATGTTCATGCTTAAACACTTCCTGTCTTCCTTAACCTATTATTACATTAGAAATTCGTAATGCTTCTCAAGGACTAACAGTACCTGATGCAAGCCTGGTTCGCGTGACTTCAACTTCCGACGTCATTCATTTAATGAATCTTGGACAAAGGAATCGTGCAGTGGGTGCAACAGCACTTAATGACCGCAGTAGCCGCTCCCACAGGTGTGAATGGATATCCCACCTTTCTTTGTTTACTTTCTAGTGCTTTATAAAATTTTCAGTGGAAATGATAACTTTTGTCTTGATTTGGACCTGCAGTTGCCTGACAGTTCATGTCCAAGGAAGAGACTTGACTTCTGGAGCTATTCTTCGTGGTTGTATGCATTTGGTTGATCTTGCTGGAAGTGAAAGAGTAGACAAATCTGAAGTAACGGGAGATAGACTTAAAGAGGCACAACATATTAACAAGTCTCTTTCAGCTTTAGGTGATGTAATTGCTGCCCTAGCACAAAAGAATGCGCATGTTCCATATCGTAACAGCAAACTTACACAACTACTCCAAGACTCACTAGGTAAGAGCACACGCTAACGGATCAAGCTTGTATCTTCTGAGATTCTCTTATTTCTGTTAAGTAATATATGGTTTTGGGATGTGATTCTGTTTTAGGTGGACAAGCTAAAACATTGATGTTTGTTCACATAAGTCCTGAACCTGATGCCATAGGAGAAACAATTAGCACCCTTAAGTTTGCAGAACGTGTTTCTACTGTTGAACTCGGTGCTGCCCGAGTAAATAAAGACACTACAGATGTCAAAGAGCTCAAAGAACAGGTATAACATTTCGCTTCCCCCCTTCCCACATTATTTCCTTCTTTCTTATTAAAGCACGAGTTCTTAATCTATGTATATATATATGCTCAAATATTATTACCTTTTTATCAGGTTGCTACTCTTAAAGCTGCCTTGGCGAGAAAAGAAACGGAACCGGTCTCCATACATCATAAGGTAACAAGCAGTCCATATGGCTTGCAGTCATCACCTTTTCAATCTAATCCACAGGGGAAAGAAATGTTGACCGATTCAAACATTCAGAGGAGACCAATGGAGGATGTAGGCAACAGAGAGGTAAAATCTCTACGACTTAGTTGATTTCAGTCATTAAGAGACCAAAATGCAGACGCCTTCCTGTTTAGCAAATGAATATTTTACTGAAGTCTAGTACACTAATAGTACACTACAAACATTTAGTGGTGTTTTTGCTAATAGTTAAATAAATACTCCCTCTGTTCCAGTTTATGTGAACCTTTTGCTTTCAAGAGTTAATTTGAAGCTAAATTCGATTAGATTAATTCAATATTTTGAAGTTAAATTTAGATATTCAAAAACTATATGGAAAGTAATATAAGTTGCAATTCTTCCGGTGCCAATATGATGAAAATATGCATTCAAAATGTTGGTCCAGTTTACATAGTTTGCATATCGTTTTAAAAGGTTCACATAAGCTGGAACGGAGGGAGTAGTAAACATGGAAACACAAGGAAATAACACCGTAGCACAACATGAAAATTGGTTTATATCAAAAGAAAAGCACAAGATACCGTTACTAAAGATTTTTATAAGCCGCCACCTTGATACATGCAGTTATCATCGTGTTTGACATTTTCTAATTTGTTTTAATTTACAGGTCTCTAGTAATTCTGCATTCAGACAAAAGAGGCAAAGTTTTGATCTTGATGAGTTACTCGGAAATTCCCCTCCCTGGCCACCCGTTAGCAGTCCTTGTGAAAACTTTGTAGAAGATGACAGAGACATGAGCTCAGGCGAGTGGGTAGACAAGGTCATGGTGAACAAGCAGGACGCTGCACGTGGAGTTGGAAACCTGTTTGGATGGGAATCTGAAAAAGACAATGTGTCCGACGTACTTTATGAGAAATATCTTTCAGATTCATCTAAAGTATACCAAGAAAAATCAAGTAATCTTTTTCAAATGAGCAACCACTTTGACATCACTACTGCCGAGGATTTAGATGAGTTTGATGCCACTACGAGTGATTCGTCCGAGCCAGATTTGCTTTGGCAATTCAATAATACAAAACTTAACAGTTTTCCCAATGGGAATGGGTCAAAGATACAGAAACCAAATGCTAAGCCAGCAAAGAGCCCAGAATCAAGGTTAGTCCTAGTCTTTTACACTTGGTGGTTTATTTCGTATCTCAATAGTAACATGCTTGTTAATAGAAAAGAAGGGCGAATAAGCACTATCTTAATGAGTTCAACTTCTATACACTGAGAGCATAAAAGAACATTTACACTATCAAGTGACCTAAAAGATAATTACAGGTAACTGTCCATTAAAGATGGGATTACTAACGAGGAAAATAAAGCTAATTAGCTGCTACAACAAGTTAAAATACATTGGTAGTGTAAAAGTGTATGCAAGTTAAATCCCTTTTCCGATAAACGCTTATTGTAGGAATATGGTTCATAAAGTCGGGCCTTCACTATCACGACAGACAAATGGAATTGGCCACAACCAGCGGAATGGGAGGCAGGCTATGCCAGCTGAAATGAAGCGTAAATCCGGGAGCAGGAAATAGGGGAAGAGTTTCCAATTCTTTTATTATCATTTTTTAATTTTTTGAGTCAATAGTGTGGGAGAGTGAATGAGAGTGGTTTGCCCTTTTTTTTTTTTTTTTTTACATACAGTTTCTTCATCCTATTTGATTGTTCCCATCAACGTTTATATCTTTACAATGTGAATGAGGCAATAATTCCAGTTGCTTGTAATTTTTGTATCATTGGATTTGTAAGAGTTCTAGTTCTTGTTGGATAGCGTGGTAGGTAGCAGAGCGTGAAGATTCTCAAACAATAGTTCCATTTGATAATCTTGTGGCACTTTGAGGATTTGACTTTGTAAATTTTGCACATATATAATTAAAGGGTGAGCATTGAAAATGTTTCTTCTATATGTTCTATATGTATTTGTTTTTTTCGTCTTCCCGATATCCAAATGCTGTCATCTTTTTTCTTTTTACTGCCTTCATATAGCATACTCTTGAAGGGAAACTCTGGAGCAACGTGAAGTTGTCTCCGCGTGACCTATAGGTGATGGGTTCGAGCTGTGAAATCAGTCACTGATACTTGTATCAGGGGCATACCCCTTGGGGTGCGGTCTTTCTCCGGATGCGGGATGCTTCGTGTACCGGCTGCCCTTATACTCTTGGCCATGGGCAGAGCCAGGGGCGGAAGGGATTCAACTTCGCCGAAAAATTTCACTATATTGCTAGGTCAAAATTATTTTTAATATATATACAGAGAGAGTAAATGTTAAATTTCCTTAACTTTTCGTATGTTACTTCTTTATATTTGAAACCCCTAGGCTAGATTCTGGTTCCGCCTCTACAATCTTGGCAAGAGAATGGAACTCAGTGAATATAGGCAGGGACCAAGAAATACCCTTTTGCCAAAAGGAAAAAAGAAGACACCAGTGAAGTACTTGTCTTTAGTGTTATAATACTCCCTCCGTCTCATATTATTTGTTATGATTCTCTTGTACATGTCTCTTAAGAAAAATTAATTAAGATGAGATTTTAACTACTTTATCCTTATTCATGTCTTAATATTTAATCTTTCTTCATTGGTATTTGAACAAAGTTGTCAATAACTGAAGTGTTTGTAGTCTTTAAGGATAATTATTACTAAGGGTAAAAAAGGAAAAAATAATTAATTTTGTCTTGAATTTCTAAAATGACAAATAATTTGAGATAACTTTTTTTAGTAACTACGACTGATAATATGAGACGGATAGAGTAATTTGTAATTAAAGCATGCAAACTTTCATCAGTACATATCGTGGCACAGAATTCATGAGTACTATTTACAAGGTAATATTTTTTCTGTCCGATTTCATATTTTATATGATAGTGTTTGACTGAACTCATGGATCTCTTCCTGCTTTTGTTAAAGAGCCTAAGAATGGAAGTTTTATATGATGATGTCAAACAAATTCAAGAAGCACAAGCACACTAGATTCAATATTTCAAAAGAAGAAAAGAACCTTCTATTACACATAGATATATGGACCTTTGCTAGTGGCTAACATTCTTGGGGTCTTCCTACAAATAGATGGGATTCATTATTTACTTTTTCTGATCGATATAAATAGATTATACATCGACTGTACACGATTGTACACATATTATACATGAATTATACATATACTATACATCTGCTAATTGTTTTTAGGTGACATGCCCTAAGGGACAAAAGTTAGAAATACCCCTTATGGTGTCTTATTTTTGTTATTTTCTGAGTTTAATGCGCTCTATGCATGGAATTGGCAAACCGTGGCATAGCTACCTTGTATCAAGGGTGGTCAACCAAACACGTTTCGCTGAAAAATTACACCGTGTATTTAGGTCAAATACTACTTTATATTATCCTATAGTATACTTTGAACATCATTAATATAGGTGTAAGAGGTAGCTCAATGGTTAAGGGTGATCAAAGTGAGGAGGAGTTCAGGAGTTCAAGTCCTTGTGTTGATATTTTTATTCACCCTTTTGTTATCCAAAATTAAATAGAGACCATCGTATTTGGTCTAATTAACTCTGCTTTTTAATCCCATTTTTTTCTAATAAAAACTCCTAAATAGAGCTTAAAATTTGTGTAAAAACAAGGAACCGATCTTAAAAGTAATTTTAATGATAAATTTCTTATTAAACAAACCTTAAGGCTACAAACCCTCTCAATCCTCTTTTTTTTTGGTTTTATGCTTACTTGAATTTTTTTTTATTCGCCCTTTTGTTATCCAAAATTAAATAGAGACCATCGTATTTGGTCTAAGTAACTCTGCTTTTTAATCACAATTTTTTTCCCAATAAATAACTCCTAAATAGAGCTTAAAATTTGTGTAAAAACAAGAAACCGATCTTAAAAGTAACTTTAATGATAAGTTTCTTATTAAACAAACCTTAAGGCTTCAAACCCTCCCAGCTCTCTTTTCCCTTTCATTTTATGCTTATTTGAATTTTTTTTGTCTTTTTTATGTTACTTTTGATTTATATTGTATAAGCGTTTTATGCTTTATTAGTTAAATACGTAATTTGATTTAGATTTGCAGTCCACCCACTTATCGTTATTAACTTCTATGAAGATCGAACACCTTAGCGAGATTTCTGGCTAGGCCATTGTTTGCAAAGCCCAAGTATGTCACGGAGAGTAGGTATATTGCCACAATGGTTTCTTCCAATTCAATAATTATTGAAGAAAACCTAGTTAAGTTAGGATTCATTTATCATAAGTTAACACACATTAATACCCCGACTTAATGGATCAAAGAGGATGAACGTACAGTAAAAATATCGAGATAAATTTTTATTTTTTAAGAAAAAAATAGAAATGAATAAATTGAGAACGTAAACATAACATAAAAGGACAATCAAAATTGAAATACCCATACATACTGTTGTTGTAATAAAAGTTTAAACTAGAGACCAATTTCTACTTTTTAAGAAGCAGGAGGCTATGATGAGTAGGGTGTTTAGCCCAAAAATAGATTTTTCGGTCAAAGTCAACATCTAGAAGAAATCGGGTTAATGATAACCAAGATTTACTTCACTTTTCCAACAATTTGAAGAATAAATTAAGGAATGAAAATAATTGACAAAGAAAATATGAAATAGATTGGTAATCACTCCCAAAATTACGGTTTAGAACTTTGAGAATAAAGTAAAGAATGATTGCATAAATTTCAATAATCATCTGATGTCATTACAAATGAGATTTCAGTCCTTATATAAGAGCATACAATTATAACAAATTCCTTACTTAATTCGGGCTCACTAATGGTATTAATTTCCTCTATTGCCCGTTACTATATACAACTGTAACAGAAATATTTATGGTTAAAGATTTTTTGTAACCGTACCGATTTCCCTTCCTTATCTATGACATGTTTGTGTATCTTCCCTTCTTTACAGCCTTTATTGATTTCGTTCTTGTTTCCCCTTTTATAGCTGTTAGGTCCGACTTTTTTCCCAGTGTAACCCCATGGGTATTTCTCCCGTGCCTTTTCCGCATTCTTTAACTCATCTAATTAAGAACGCTACTTGTCACTATATCGATGGTCCACGTACTATGCCCTGTCACCTTATTGATAGTCCACATATAGTGCCTTTTTTCTACTAATACAGATAGTCCCCCCACTTTCTGAATATTCTCAACTGAATATTCGGGAAGTGGTAAGTATTTATGGCGGGAATTCTTTGTCGCCGTTTCTCGAGTATCATTATGCCCTCTTCAGAATCGATGCGACGTATGTCACATTTATTTAATTCCCATGCAACGTGGCTTCACATGATTGGTTTTGCAGTTTCTCAACGCTTTTTAGGGTTTTTTTGCGGTTGCGTCAGTCACGAAGTGACGGTTCTATTATGACACTTCATAATGATCAACTTTGACGACGGTCGCATCTCCTTATAAGCACTTCATCCCCTTTGATTTCTTGAAACCTTCTTCCTTCTTCTCTGTATCCATCATCTTAACCTTCCTTCGTAGTTTTGTACCTTTCATCTGTATTTTTTTTTGTTAAACATGTCTTCTTCAACACTAGACCCTCACAAAGTTGTGATTGTCGATGAACTTGCTCCTTCTACTGCCCCTACTAGGAGTAGGAGAGGTGGTAGACTCCGCAGTCTTGGTTCGTTATCTACTCGCAGTTCTACTTCTCAAAGTAGTTCCACCAGGCCATCTTCTTCTAGACCTAGAGCTCCTTTAACCGCTAGATCCTCTTCTAAAAATAGGGACCAGAATGAACCCATGCGTGAGCCTACGGTTTTTGAGATTGTTCCTCAAGAGTTTTCTTTTGTATCACATTGTGAAACCATGAAAAACCAAGTTTCTTCTATATCTTCCCTTAACCCTGCTGAACTCTACCCAAGTTTGATCACTCATGGTCTTCTTTCTTTAGTTCGACGAGAATGTCATTGGAAACCAGATTTTTCAGTTTTAATTCCTGGTGCCAACCAAATAATCACTTCTTATCATGCTGGCTTTTTTTCGTTTATACCTACCCTTTCACTTTAGGGTTTAAACCTCACATTGACCCAGTGATCATCGAGTTTTGTCATTATTTTAATATTTGCCTTGGCCAAATTGGTCCTATTGTGTGGAGGGCAGTAGCATGCCTTTGCTATTTGTAGGATTTAGTTTTCGCTCCTTTACCTTCTGTCACTTACTTCTTTACTCTCTCAAGCTGTTTCGTGAAGGGGTCTTTTCCCTCGTGGCTAGAAGTAAAAGTATTTTAGTTAGCCCCGAGGATAACTGTGACCGTGGCTGGTATGCCAGTTTTGTTGCTGCCCCCACTAGTGGATTAGTGGGTGAAGAAAATATGTCTTTTCCAGAAAAATAAAACTTTGCACGTAAGTCTTTCTTTTTTCGTTGATGTCTTGAGTTCCTTTATGTAATCACATATTCATTTTTCAGTAACCATAGAATTCTTTGAAGAAATTCCTGACTTCCGTGCTTGGGTAAAAAAAATATTGACTGCTGCTCCCATGGACAAAAGATCTTGAAAATTTCTTTCACAGAAATTTGGTTGGAAAGTGAAGACTCACAGTACTTTTCATTCTCACAGTTTATTTCCTTCTTTACTTGTTCATATATAAATTTTTCATCATCACCCTTTTTTTATTAGGGTTTGCTATTCGTGGCATCAGTCCCGTATCCGTTCCATCAACCATGCTCTCTGTAAGTCTTGCTCAAGAACGGATTTTGAGTGCTTCTTCCTCCAAGAGAAAAACTGTTGAAGCCCGTGTGCCTGATGATGAAGAGGATGCAGATGAAGGTTCCTTGGTGTGAAAACCCCGTGTCAGAAGACGCATGGTTTCAGATGATGAAACCCATGTCTCTCATGATCCCCCATCAAGTTCGATTCCCTTCAGACTCATTGATGAGCCAGAGAATG